CTTCTTTGTGGCAGCCCCTCAAATATTGAAAAACTGCTATCATGTCACCCCTGGTCCTTCTTTTCACTGATAAGACATACCCAGTTCCTACCACCATTCTTCAAATGTTTTAGCCTCTAGTCCTTGACCTATCACCAAAATTTATGTGGCTGAGCAAGGCGGTTATTAAGCGAGTCACGCTCTGTTTTATCTTTTTTCCCATGGCTGTTAAGTGAATTGGGTGGTCATTAATCAAATGTGGCTTCTCCCATTGATTTTATTTGTCGGAAACTTATTGAGAATATCACAAATGTTGATCACATGACATTGCAACCATCCTAAATACATACCGATTGCTGAGTGCTTGAATTTTGATCCTGTGATCCGGGGGATGTCTCAATGGTTGTAAATAAGAGGACTAGTCATAAGTCATCTTTCTCCCATCCTGTTGCAACCTCAAATGGTTGCTAAACAAATGGTTTTAAGTCCAGGATTACCTGTATTCTACACTCCTTTGTTCATTGTTTATCTTCGCCTCAATATCAACTGTAGTTATAATTCATATCGTTTGAATTGAAATGCTTTACTTTTTGTGACTGAGTGTCTACATTTTAAATTCTTAGTCCTCCAGGAGTTGTAATTATACAGGTAGTCCCAGAACAGCATACTCCCCTTCTTTTCCTAGATCTGAAGGATCAAGGTTCCACTTCATATTTACATTTGAAAAAGCAGGGAATGGGCGCCAATTGTTTTACTGTGCCCTGTTAATTCTTTCAGAGGGCTGACTTGTTGAGGCTTGCTGTGGCATATTTCAAATTGCTGTTTGTTGAAATAGGAGACTGAGACTGGTGTCTACCAAAAGTGCCTATGGAAATTCTCAGTCATCCAGATCATGGTTGTCCCAAAGGTACTTTTTCAAAAGGCAGCTGGGCTTCGTATGCTTTTTTCTTGAAGATGTTTCACTTCTCATCCAAAAATGAAAAAAAGCTTCTTCAATGAGAAATCAAACATCTTCAAGGAAAAAAACAAAGAAAGTCCAGTTGCCTTTAAAAAAAAAAGCAGCTTTGGGATATCTACTAAAAAGGGTGCCGGAACTAACTCCAGCTGCCCTCTTTAATGCTATGAAAAAAAATTCTGCTTCCCCATAAAAACAGAGTTGCTTCCCATCATCAAATGATGAATGGTTGAGGGAGATAGGTTTGTGTAGTAGCCTATTAAAAAGGATGGGGGTGGATGGGACACAATAGCTGTTGTAGAGAAGGATGGGGGTGGACGTGTTCTCCAAAGCACCAGAGGACAGGACAAGAAGCGACAGGTGGAAACTTGTTAAAGGGAGATTCAAACTAGAAGTAAGGAGAACTTTTCTGACAGTGAGAACAATGGATGGAACAGCTTGTCTACTAGTGTTGTGGGTGCCCCATCACTGGAGGTTTTTAAAAACAGAAGGGACAGCCATTTAACTGGGATGGCGTAAGGCTCCTGCCTTGAGAATGGTTGGACTAGAAGACCTTTGAGATTCATTCCAGGCCTATGAAAATCTATTTCCCAGCTCCATTAGCTTGTTGTATTCCCATTTACTGATCAATACAGTGAAGCTGTAGCACCAGAGAGCAGAATAGATTATCCAGGGGAAGTACCCAATTACGTCTGTCTTCCTTGTTCTCAGCAACACGATGGCGTTTTACATATCTACATACAACGTGATTTCAAGGGCTGGGTGAATAAGATAGAATGTCAGAGAATAGGAAGGAATTCCTATTAACAGGTAAGGTTATTCCTTGACTTCCCATCATAATTTTGAGGCTCCCCTTGCATTTTAGGTAGGACCTAAAATGGACAACCTATAAAGTGAATAGACTGGACGTTCTTTTTAATTGCCTTTCCATCTTTTAGGAATGTTTAATTTCATGAAGTTAGGCAATAACCAAATAAATGGATTCTGTCTAGGCAAAGCAAATGTTGGTGGATGAACTGTGAGCCAGATCTAAAACCAGAACTACTTTTTTTTAGTTTTGCTGAGAAATAAGATGAATGCATACAAGTTTTCAACAGAGTTAAAAATGCTGCTAAATTGGAAACGCCCTGTGTATTTTTCCCTTAAGACAAAAATATTATAGGAAAGATACGTACTGTTAATCCATCAAAATATGTACAAGTGCTTTGGTGCAAATTATGTGAAAGAAGAAAGCCCAGTGTTATGTAAAATAAAGCTAAAACTTTTTTTGAACATGACTCTGGGATATAGTTCTCTGTGATATAAAATCATAAAACCAAGATCAAATAAACTAGTTTGGAATGGATCCAGTTATACATATGTGTGAAATCAAACAATAATTCCTTCCTCATCTTTTGTCTGGGGCAAATTGGAACTTGCTGTGACAGTTTATTAGGACAACAGCTTATTAAGACAATATACGGCTTGTGTTTGGTTGCAGTTTGAATTGGCAAGTAATGTGATGATTTGTCTGGAAGCAGTGGGAGGAAAAGAGGAAGCCAGAATATTGAATGAGAGACTGAGGGAAGAGGCGATATGTATGTTAGAAGGTTGCTTGTGACACATCGTGGCTGGTGGGACAGGTTGTACCCTCCCTCTTAGTCCATGTGAAATTTTAAGAATATATTAATATTCCATTGTAATAATCCATTTTTGTTAAAAACAGTGTTGGAAGGAGCAGAGGATTTGTTCATGGGGGTGTTAACTGAGTTTTCGATTATCAAGTTTAGGACAAAAGCCTGGAGCTGTTGGGAATTGATTGGCCTCTTCCGGTTGACAAAATTCAATATGGTTCGTGATAAAGTTCTTGACCTCGTCTGACTTGGCAGAAATACAAACTTTGCTGTTGAAATCATTGGTTTGACTTCCACGAGGAAGGTGTTGCCTTTAGCTCTCTGCTTCCAAGGCTTTCCAATTCTCCCGAAAATTGGAAGGTACCCTACAAAAAGGGTTCTTGGCCTTCGCCAACAGGGTTGGCAAAGTGTACCTGGCTAATTTTTTTTCTCCTTATTCCAAACTCTCAGGTGTATGTTAGAATTGAGCAGAAGATGCTAAAAGGTACAAAGAGATGTGTTTCTATTTCATTAGTCAAATGCTTTCCTGTTGGCAGTGAAATATGCCTGGTAACCCTAATGGTTGTAAACCTTCCTTTTTTTTGCCCAAGTTGCAATTGTCCATAGCACTGTGAACAAATAAATTAGAGAGGGGGGGGGGAATGCATTTCGAAAGAAATGAAAACTTGGGTACCACATTTTCCCAACTCAGTGTTCTCAAAGTCAGGGCTTTTCAACCTTTTCACCCATTGTACCACTTTTAGGATATGGCAGTATCCGAGTACCACCAGTCGCCTACCAAAGTGTCAAAAACTTGATGACCAAAAAAAAAAAAAAAGTGATAAACTACAGGTAGTCCTCGACTTACAATAGTTCGCTTAGTGACTATTCGAAGTTACAATGGCACTGAAAAAAGTGCCTCCCAAGCCACAGCCCAGCAAATCACCTGCCTGCCCACTCAGCGGCGCTCTTCCTCCTGTCCGAGGTTTTCATTGTTGTGAACATTTCTGTTGAGTGGGAGGGTGTTTGGTTTTTATTCCCCCCGTCTGCTGGGTGGTTGCAGCAGGTTTTGGTCACTTCACATGACCCTGGGACACTGTGACCATCATAAATATGAATCAGTTGCCAAGCATCTGAATGGAAATCACAAGACCCTGGAGAGGCTGATCAGCGCTTCTTCTGGGCTCAGCAGAAGCGCCAGGATCAGTGCCGAGCTCCAGCTGGAGCCTGGGGCTGATCCTGGCATTTCTGCTGAGTCCTGACAGCCCTGCAGCTCCAGCCATCTCTCGCTCAGGCTTGTGTGGTGCTGCCACCGGTTCAGCTCATTCCCCTCCCCTGCTACCACTTTTCTAGGATGGTCGTGTACCACCTGCCAGGTGCCCATGTACCACAGGTGGTACCCGTACCACTGGTTGAAAAGCCTTGCTCAAAGTATTCGAAGACTACAACTTAGAAGAATCCCCAGGCCAGTTGCTGACCATGGAATTTGAGTTTTGGAAGGCACAGAGGCAGCCATCTGGACAGTAGAAAGTTAATGAGCTGGAACAATATGAAGAGCCCAGAGTTCTTGGAATTTTAAATGAAGGTGATCTTAGGAAAGAAAAAGCATCACTGCTTTGATACTCTATTTTTCGCAGGGACGATCACAGTTCTTCTAATGTTGCAATGGCTACCTCCTGCTATTTTCATAATTCATTAGACCACTTGATGGTTCTTCATGGAATGCTGGTCTTCTTCAGGAACTGAAATTCTAGAGAGCATCTCCAGAGTTGCTGGGGGTGGAGGGTGGGATGGAGAACTGCTCAGAGTTTCTGAAAATTCAGTGGAAAAGAAAGGAGGAGGAGGAGGAAGAGGAGGAGGGGGAGGAGGAGGAGGAGGAGGAAGAGGAGAAGAAGATAAAGGTAAAGATAGATAAAATCAGGTAAAGAAATGTTTGCAAGCAAACAACCAACTTCACAGAGCACCAAGAACTCCAGACAGTTCCTGAAAATAAACATTTTATATTTTGATATTAATTGGCTTGATATTATACCATAACTTTATAATAGTATTATTAATTCTTTGTATTACTGTTTATTTTTATTTTTACTGATAACATTTCAATGGATAAATTTTGATTTATTGCAAATGTACGATATGTATTGAATGTAACGCTAGTAAGCTTTTTGGAGTTTTATGATTGAAGAGACCTAGAAGCTTTTAATAAATAAATTTTCTAATAGCCATCAAATAGAAAACCAGAAATGATTTGGGTTATATAAAGGCAAATCCTTTTTTGACACTTTAAGTTGGCTGTCAAGCCATGCCTTATAAACAAGCAGGGAAGCCACCAATAATCCCAAAATGATCGGTGATAATCCAATTTACAGCACTGTAAAATGCAGCGGAGGGATTGTTCCCTTGGCTCCCCTTTCTCAGAATTCTCCTGAACTTCCCTCCTGAAATGACGTCCACTCTTATTCCTCTTTCTACAGGACATGGAAATCATAAGGAAAGTAGCCCCTTCCTCAACACGCCAGATCAAGGCAAAGGAGATTACTATGACCGAAACTTGGCTTTATTTGAGGTAACGATGACGCTTGAAATTTCATTTTTGGTCAATTTTTCAGCTTTCTAGAATGCTCAGTTTGGCCCTTGTCCAACGAGTTTGAAGGACATCAAGGAGGTCCTGATCCCTTCAAACCGTAGAGCTTTTTCTCTCGTGCTTTCAGTTCCTTAACTAATCGTACAAAGATGTGCATATACTCTCAGCATCCATAATAAATGTTTTCAGAAAAAAAAAATGATCTAAAACAAAAAATATTGATCTAAATTAAAAAAAAAATCAAGGCTAGGGTCACAACTCTGCGATTGAAGGCCTGCTCTTTATGTGCATTGCATGTGCATATAAATTAGGAAATAATGTGTAACTCATGTTCTTATCATTACTTGGTAGTACTCTTTACTATAATGTGCTCTACACAAGGCTACCTTTAAAGACTAGGTGGAAACTTGTACAGTTGGTACATCTACTAGTTGTTTTTTCTTCTAGTCAAGTCCCTGCAGTACTGTTGCCAAGGTTTTTCAAAATTGTTTGCCATTGCCTCCTTCCTAGGGCTGAGAAAAAGAGACTGGCTCAAGGCCACCGAGTTGGCTTTGTGGCTAAAATGAGACCACGGCTCATGGTCTCCTGGTAGCTACGCATGAAAAAATATTTTATATTGGAAAAATGTAATCATGAGGAATGTTGGCAATAAATCTGCAGTAGAATGGATCACCAAAGATCCGTGATTGATTTTTTTTTAAATTTCCTAAAAATAATGACTCACCACGAGGAACTAGTTTACCCTGGCAGTTATAAATATACCAATTTGATTGTAATCCCTCTGAAACAGGCTAGAAAATGTTCAAAGTATACCGTGTCATTTTAAAGGGATGTGGTGTGATCCATGAATCAGTTTTATGGTTATATCTGTTTGTAGAAGAAGATAGACTGTATTTCAGCTCTGTGGTTCCTTTGTCGTCTTCTTGAATCTCGGGCAGTACTTGTCGAGCTTAGCAAGCTGAAGATAAATGGATTTAATATCTCAGCTGGCTGGGGGATTCTGGGAGTTGACATATACCCATCTTCATGTTGCCAAGCTTGAGAAACACTGCTCCAGTGTTTTGTTGTGGAACTTTGGTTCGCATCATAGTAGAGCATCAGTGCCTGGATACGAGCTCAGAAAAGAGAATTGGGTTATCCATGGGATGAGATGAGCATGTCTTACAAAAACTCCTGGGAAGATGGCTGCTCACAGGTTTGGGATTTGACTCTTGATGTTATCCTAGCTGACTGAAATAGAGGATTGTAGGTGTAGCTTAATATGGAAGGAGAGGAAGCTGCTATATTGGACATGATCCAAGGCTCCAGAGCAGAATTCTGGGAGTTGAAGTCCAATGTCTTAAAAGTTGCCAAGGTTGAGGACTCCTGGGGTAACAGATCATATTTAAACTCTGATTCTTAGGCTGGAACTGCCCAGGCGAGGATTAAAAATAAACAAACTGTTAGTTGATATGAAGGCATTTATAGAAAGAAAAATATATAAACCTAAGACGGATGTTTTCAGTTGCTTTTCTGGCTGGCCAGCTAGAATGATAGAAAACTGCCCAAATTCAGCATAATTCTCTCTCTCTCTCTCTCTCTCTCTCTCTCTCTCTCTCTCTCTCTCTCTCTCTCTCTCAAACGGTGTGTCTATCCTGTCTCATGGCATTTTTTAAAAAACAACAAGATGCTAGGCAGCCTGGTTACTTTGTGGGTAGCAATGAGATGCTCCATTTTGTGAATTCATTTCCATAGAGATGGCTACAGAGACATGCTGCTGTTGCCCAGCAGGTCTGCTTGGTTAGTTAGTCTTTTCAGAAGTTGGCTTGGTGTCAACATGGAATGTCCCTCTTCCTCTGGGCGGTCAAGCCCCCCTCAACTTTTGGTTTTGATTTTGCCTATTTTGTGGGAAATGCCAAGAAAGGAGGCCGACCTTGTACAACGGCAGTCGGTGGCTTTTAGGTTTTCCTTGAGAGAGCGCCATGTAAGATGCCTACAGGTGAAGCAGTGTAAGCTTTCCAGGACCGAAATGCTGAAATTTTACTGTTGACCAATGTATCCTTGCACTTTTCCCTTTGTAGGAAGAACTGGATATTCGCCCCAAAGTGTCTTCTTTATTGGGCAAATTGGTCAGCTACACAAACCTCACTCAAGGAGCCAAGGAACACGAAGAAGCAGAAAATGCCGAAGGCTCGAGAAGTAAAGTTTCAAAAGTATGTCGCTTTCTTCAGCTTGTGTTTGTGTTCAGTTTGTGTTTGTGAGGAGTCAACTTTGCAAGGCCCAGCCAGTCATTTGGATGGACAGTCTCTGAGGAATCCCATGAATTGGGACCAGTCCCTTGGTTGAATCCACAGGGGTTTACATGTGACCTTTAGAAGACAAGAACACGGTTTGGACTTAAAGGATTAATTTTTATCACAAGGGGTGACTGCTAGGCCAAGAGACATCTCTGGACAGAGGGGAATGGTGCTTGGGCCACAGTCTTGAAAGAACCCTGGTGGTGCAGTGGTTAGTAGTTCGATTCTCACCAGCTCAAGGTTGACTCAACCTTCCATCCTTCTGAGGTCAGTAAAATGAGGACCCAGATTGTTGGGGACAAATAGGTTGACTCTTTAAAGTGCTTATAGAGGGCTGTAAAGCACTGAAGTGGTATATAAGTCTAACTGCTATTGCTACATCATTCTACTTTGCTGAGATGACTTCTTCTCTTTTTCAGTCTCCCAGCATGGGAACCCTGATGGGTGTCTACCTGCCATGCATGCAGAATATTTTTGGGGTTATCCTCTTTCTTCGGCTGACGTGGATAGTGGGAATGGCAGGTGTCGTCCAGGCCTTCCTTATTGTCTTAATCTGCTGCTGCTGTGTGAGTACATGGCTTCAACATCCTTTAGATGCCACCTACTTTCTTGTCTTCCACCCATGCCGTGGGTTTTTATCCCGAATCTTCCCGATCGGCATATCTCAGTGTCCAAATTTATGGCTGGACGGATTCCAGCTGGTTGGATTTCCTCCCTACATTTTCCTTTTTTTACTAGAAACCTCAAGGCTTGCCAGATGCAAACTAGGACTCAACAAATTGGTTGGGTAAACATGTACTTAGAATCAAGGAATTCTATATCTGAAACTGAATTTGACGTTCCGTTGGCATACTCTTCTAATTCAGTGCTTTTTCCATTCCAAATGGAAAATAAGCCCATTTGATGCAAGTGAAGGAAACATTAAAAGAAACTATTTGTAGCTCATGCTTGAACTATGGGGTCCTTGGTGCTCACTAAGCTTGGCTGTTTTGTTGGAGATGATTCATTACCCAAACTAAATCATATCAGAGGAGGAAATAGCTGTTGATCCCTAACATTGCTAGAATTCCCTGTAATACTGAGCATGCTTCTTTTTCTATTTTCATGTGATTTCATCCTTACCAAATTTGGTCTAGTTCTGTTCAGTTTTCAGGGATTTATCTTCGTATTGGATGGACAGACAGAATCCCAAACCCCCGTTGCACAATAACATTCTTTTGAGCTGGAAAGACAAACAATTGAAGGATTTGGTTATATCTCGTGGCATACATGTGGTATATTTAAATTGGATGGTTCCTGTGTTCCTATATGTTTAAACTCTGTTATTGTCATTCACAGACCATGCTGACAGCTATATCAATGAGTGCAATTGCCACAAATGGTGTCGTTCCAGGTACACTGTGATTTATTTGTCATGACTGTGATTTTGAAGCTCTTGAGTCCCACTGGGAAAGAGATACTTGAATGAATGATTGATTGCTTTATTGACTGACTTGCTATCAAGTTGATGTCAACTACCTAGAACAGAACCATGGTGGGTGGTTAGAATGCAGTATTGCAGGCTAACTGTGCCCACTGCCAGAAGTTCGATCCTCACCAGCTCAAAGTTAATTCAGCCTTCCATCTTTCTGAGATTGGTAAAATGAGGACCCGGATTATTGGGGGCAATATGTTGATTCTGTAAACCGCTTAGAGAGGGCTGTAAAGCACTGTGGGGCAGTATATAAGTGCTATCACTATTGCTATTGCCAACCTGGCCCTCTAGGTCTTTCAACAGGTATATCCACCACTGCTCTGAATTCATTCACCCTGCTTCTGTTCTTCCTTTTCTTTTCTTTCTGTCCATTTTTCCTGGCCCAAAGTCACCCAGTTGGCTTTCAGGGCTGAGGTGGGACTAGAACTCCCCATCTCCTGGTGACTGGCCCAGAATCAACCAGCCGGCTTTCATGGCTAAGGTGGAACTAGAATTTATGGTCTCCCACTTTCTAGCCTGACGCCTTCACCACTAGACCAAACTAGCTGATTTAGATTTTGCTTTTTCAGAGCATCCTTATTTTGGACATTTGTAGACTTTTCGCTTTTATTTGTTCTTTGTGTGGTAGCTGGTGGTTCCTACTTCATGATTTCAAGATCATTGGGTCCTGAATTTGGAGGTGCAGTGGGACTGTGTTTCTACTTGGGAACCACATTTGCAGGTGCCATGTACATCCTGGGAGCCATTGAGATCCTACTAGTAAGTAGTTAACCAATATATTGCCAACACATTAAATCTACCAAGGTTGAAGAGCACTGTGTTGGGATGATGGTTCCCAGGTTTCCCAGGTCCAGCATGGTTCAGAAGTCTTCTTGGTTGAAATTCTGGAAGCTTCAATCTCAAAATCATCTGGTGGCTGCTTAATTGGAGGGGAGGGCTGTGGTGTCTGACTTAATTTTGGACATTGTGCACGTCTTGACTTCCCAATGTGTGTCTTGGACAGCTCGTTTTTGTTACCAACACTAAAGTCATGTTCTTCCTCTTTCAGACCTATATTGCTCCCCAGGCTGCCATTTTCCATCCAACTGGGGCCCATGATACTTCCAATGCCACCCTGAATAACATGCGAGTCTATGGGACCTTATTTCTCACCTTCATGGCTCTTGTAGTCTTTGTGGGTGTAAAATATGTTAACAAGTTTGCTTCACTCTTTTTGGCTTGCGTCATCATTTCCATCTTATCCATCTATGCTGGGTCAATTAAATCCATCTTCAGTCCACCTTTTTTCCCGTAAGTAAAAGTACCTGAGAATGCCAACTCATAATGCCAGTTATGGAAACTCTGATAAAATCTCTAGCTAGCTTGGAGGGAGATGTTGGGGAGTGGGGGAGGGCGAGCTTAGAGTTCTTGCACTGCAGAAAGTAGCAGACACCTGAAGAATTAGAATCCTTGAAGTCTTATCTGACCATTACCCAGGAATTGCAGTCAGACTGGCAAGATTCTTGCAGTTATAGGTGAGTAACAATAAAGCTTCTGTTTGAGACTTTCGGATTGCTTGTGCCTGACAGAAGCCATGGACGAAGGAAAGACCACTGTAGTGGGAGGGTTAAAAGACATTCCAGCTTGAGAGTCCATTGAAGGAGGAAACCATTCAGGGGAGGAAACCTTTGAGGTCAAGCCCTTAGCACAATATATGGTTTCCCCAAGGGAAGACTACATGGTGAATTCTTCTTAAAATGATTGTCAACAATAAAGGACCCTATTTGACCCGTTCTCCGAGCTGCTTGCACCTGGCAAGTGAAGATGTTAACTATGCAGGCAGTCCTTGACTTATAACAGTTCATTTAGTGACCATTCAGAGTTACAATGGCACTGAAAAAAAGTTTCTTATGACCATTTTTCACACATCCCCAGGGTCACGTGGGTCAAAATTTGGACATTTGGCAACTGACTCACATTTATGACGGTTGCTGTATCCCAGGATCATTTGATCCCCTTTTTCGACCTTCGACAAGCCAAGTCAATGGGGAAGCCAGATTCACTTTACAACTGTGTTACTAACTTGACTGCAGTGATTCACTCAACAACTGTGGCCAGGGAGGTCATAAAATGGGGCAAAATTCACTTAACAACTGCTCCACTTAGCAATGGAAATGGAAATTGCTAAGAGTCAATTGTGAGCATAAGTTAAGGACTGCCTATAATGGCAGAAGCTCCTACAATGACTCTTTATCAATGGCATTCCACTCCCTACTAAATATATTACTTATTTTGGGGTCCTTTGATGGTTTTGTTTTTGTCATTAGTTGCCCTTTGGTTTCTTTTAGAAAACTAAGATGTCACTGGACTTCTTTGTTTTTCTTGCACTAAATTAAAATAGAGTTATTTCTAGGTTTATTGCAGTAAAAACCATAAAGATTCTGAATCTTGGAAAGTTACTAGATTATTAAGGCATCTGCTTAGAATCTGTTTCTCAGGGCAAAATGTACAAGCAGTAAGGTCCAAAAGGAATCTTCCATTATTTGTGCATTTTTATTTATTTACAGTGGTATATTTATATACTGTATAAATATCACTGTACCCAGATAATGTACACCTTGTTTTTTTATAATAATATAGTAAAACAATATTAACACAAAAAGGAAGGACATAGAAACGGTTCGACATTTGCATTTGTTTCTCTTTGTTTTGCTTGTTTTAAGTTCTCACATATACAAATGTTCAATGTTGTTTTGTGCTCTGGTGGAAGAATGCAAAATAGAGTCTGTGGTCTGTTTAATCTTTGTCTTTCCTCCTCTGTGTCTTGACATGTATTGTTGTTATTTATATCTCCAAGCTGGTAACTTTCAGATGAGTTGGAACAGAAAAAATGTTTGAATTCATAAACCAGAATTGGGACTTTAATGGAATAGAATGCAACTTGTAAAAAAAAGGGTGGAAGAATGTTTTTCATCCCTCACTGCTAATATTAGAACTTGGGAACTTCCTCTGAAAACTGATTAAGTTGATAAATTTAGCAGAGCTAAGAGAAAAAATTATTTTCATATATCACCAAATGGTGCTGTTTTCACCCTCGGTTTTACATGCCTGGCTACATATTTTGGAAAGCCAGATGCTGGATTTAGTCTCACTCCTGCTGCCTTCGTGGTGTTTATCAAAAGGAGGTCTAATAAGATTAAAAATAAAGACATACCCTTGCATATTTTTAATGAACCTGTCATGGTTCCGAAAAGAAGCAGCTTTTCAAAGAACTTTGAGGCTTATTTACCTTAAAGAATCCTTTTATTTCTGTGTAGCTTCGGCACATACAAAGTTAAGCCAAAAACTGAATCCTCCCTCCCCCAATCACCCTTAACGAAGCATAACTCACTCCTTCATTTTATAGTCATCAATCACATTCTCCAATTAATATGAAGTGTGAATTGTCCCTCCCATTACAGCTGACCTTGACAATGCTGTGCTGAGATATTGTGATGGTTAGCTAGCATATTTTCCCATCCACTAGGCTAGTATTGTGTGCTTTAACTCTAGAAGTGATATGCAGGCTAAATAAAACATGTTTGCTTCTTCATATATGGCAAGCAAGAACATCTGATGTTAGCAGTCTTGAAGAACCACTTTTGGCAGTTTTTTTAAGAAAAGTCGGGGTAGAAATATGCAAACTTTTACCTGGTGAAAATGTTGATGTCCTTCCTTCCTAGGGTGTGCATGCTGGGCAACCGGACTCTTTCCAGGGACCAGTTTGATATTTGCGCCAAAACGATGGTGGTCAACAATGTGACGGTGCCCACCGATCTCGCCAACCTCTTTTGCCCGGATTACAACATAACCTCTGGCCACTGCGATGAATATTTTCATTTAAATAACGTAACTGAGATTGTTGGTATCCCGGGAGCTGCAAGTGGAATTTTGAAAGGTAATCTTAAGACCGTGGCGTAACTTTGGGATGAAGAAGTAAAGAGCATTGATGAACACATCAAGGCTTGCATATCATCAATTCCATGTGCAGTCTCTGTATGGGGGATCTGTGGCAGCTACAAGGGAGAAAATTGAATCTGAAACCTTGGAGAGAGCCTGCTAGCCAGTGTACACCACTGTTTCTCAACCTTGGCAATTTTAAGATGTGTGGACTTCAAATCCCAGAATTCCTCAGCCAGCATGCCTGGTTGGGGAATTCTGGGAGCTGAAGTCCACACATTGGACAGTTGTCAAGGCTGAGAAACACTGATGCATAATCCTCTGGACTAAATAGGATAGGAGATAGGGTGGATCTGTTTTCCTAATTAAATCAGTCCTTTATTTAGAACCAAACTCATTGGAGACCCCAATGATGCTAGGAATGGTTAGTGGAACAAGAAGAAGGGGCAAGCTAAGAGCAGGCGGGCCTGATAACATCAAGACTAATACAAAGATGAACATCAAACAGCTGAAAGCAGCTGTGGTTAGCTATTCTGTTCAATAAAGAATTTCCTCATTGCTGGACATCCAAGGAGACCAGCCTCTCTTGGCTAAGTTCAGCTCCTGTGTGTAAACTATGCATAGCCCTTGGTAAACCTAGCAAGCTATACTGTATATAGTTTTTCATTTATTCTACATTCCTGATGAGTCTCGTTTCCACCACCCCAGATAATGTCTGGAGTAATTACTTGGAGAAAGGCGAGATCCTGGAAAGAGCGAGCTGTCCATCTGTTGACGTAGCTGGAAATAAGAACAACCTCCACTTGTACGTCTATGCAGACATTGCAACTTCTTTCACTATCCTTGTTGGCATCTTTTTCCCCTCTGTGACTGGTGAGAAGATACAAAGGCTGAAATCTCTGGGTGTATTTTGATATATTGTGGGTTTGTTTTTTTTGGGGGGGGGAGTATCTGTCTTATCTGCCTTTTTGTTTTCTTTTTAAGGCATCATGGCCGGCTCCAACCGATCAGGAGACCTCAAGGATGCCCAAAAGTCTATTCCAGTGGGAACCATTCTTGCTATTGCCACCACATCTCTTGTCTGTATCCTTTAAACATAAGAGTGTCCATGCTATGGTTTTAGTGCTTCAGAAACTTTTATGTTAGGGGTCTGACTGTGGCCTTTGAAGCAGTAACATCTGCCCTGACTCTATGAATCCTGGAAACGAAAGAGAAAATTAAAATAGCCATGAAGATTCCTTTGAAATAAAGGATGGTCTTCTTGCAGGTTGCAGGTGTGCTTTTCATTTACCTGTTCTTGTACCTCCAAGGTATTTCTTGTTTCTCTCAAAGAGAATAGAATAGAATAGAATAGAATAGAATAGAATAGAATAGAATAGAATAGAATAGAATAGAATAGAATGGAATGGAATATTTTACTGTGCAAATTGCATTGGCAGAATCTGACTATTTTTTGCAACTTAGCAGGAATATTTGTGGCTGATTACTGCGAATGTAGACATTTGTTGCATCAAAATTCTGGCTTCCTTAACTGGATTTGCACCTCACAGATTTCAGCTGTGTATTGTTGTTTGGAGCTTGCATTGAAGGCGTTGTTCTTCGAGATAAGTAAGTAATTATTTCAGATTTTCCTTTCACGGAAAGGAATCCATTTTGTTTTCTTTGATTGCTCTTGCTGATTTCCTTTGCAGTGAAGACACCGGATTTTTCTTTTTAACACACTACGCAGAATGCATTTTTTTTCCCTAATAACCATTACTAGCTGCAAACACACAGGATTATTACAGGTAGTCCTTGCCTTACAACAGTTCATTTAGTGACTGTTCAGAGTTACAACGGCACTGAAAAAAGTGACTTACGACCATTTTTCACTTTTATGACCATTGCAGCATTCCCCGTGGTCATGTGATTTGGGTGCTTGACAACTGACTCACATTTATGACAATTGCAGCCTCCTGGGGGGTCAAGGGATCATCTTCCACGACAAGCAAAGTTAGTGGGGAAACCAGATTCACTTAACAATTGTGATAGTAATTTAACAATTGCAGTGATTCACTTAACGAATGAGGCAAAAAAAAACTTAATAAATTTCTTACTTAGCAACATAAATTCTGGGCTCAGTTGTGGACATAAAGTGAGGATTACCTGCACATGCAGAGCATGTAAAACCCCACTTTCCTTTTTTTTAAGGCAGTTTTCTAGTCTTCCCCTTTGTGTATTTATTTAGCCTTTTAAAAAATAATTATGCCCTTTCTCAAAGGGAGCATTGTTACACCTTAGGGTAGGTGAAGCCAAAAGACCCCGATTGGCATGAAATCACCCAGAACTGTCCAAAGATGAGTAGGAATTTGCACTGTTCCTTCTGAATTGATCCGAGACTGAACTCGCCACATCCTAGTGCAGTGTTTCTCAATCTTGACAACTCTGAGATGGGAAGACTTCAATTCCAAGAAAATGGCTAGCTGAGGAATTCTGGAAATTGAAGTTCTCCCATCTTAAAGTTGCCACAGTTGAAAAACACTGCCTTACTGTGTCCCAGTGTCTGGGTCGATAGCTCATAGCAAAATAATCCATGCAAATAATTCACACTTATTTTGCACGCATTATTTATATTTTGCACCTGGCACATCCAGATGTGTTTCACCTGGAACTCCCAGAATTGCTATGAATTGCTTTCTAATTATTGCATTAGAAGCATTTGTTTGAGCCATTTCACTTTTATTATTTAACCGAAGCTTTGCAAAATAGTAGTAGACTTTTACGTTTCCAAGAAATTGTTGTCAGATAATATGGTTAGAATCCAGGAAACAGATGTGGGAAAAGGGAAAAAAAATGTGGCTGAACTACGCTGGTATTATCTTACATTCTTAAATGGGGAGAATAGGAACTCTTAGACACTACAATTGCTGTCGGGTTGCTTGCTTGATATGAAGAGTAAGTTGACCTGTCCTTGAAAAGATAATTGAAAATCAGATGGAAATACCAAACAAATTCAAGTTTCTTATTGAATGACAAATTCTTTCCTCCCCCTCCTCACAGGTATGGTGATGCCGTGAATAAGAACTTAGTGGTGGGCACGCTGGCCTGGCCCACACCATGGGTCATAGTGATTGGGTCCTTCTTCTCTACATGTGGAGCAGGTTTGCAAAGCCTCACTGGAGCTCCACGTCTCCTTCAAGCCATTGCCAAGGACAACATTATTCCATTCCTCAGGGTCAGTCTGGTTGTTTTTTTTTTTTTTTAAGAGCAAAAGTTGGAATCATTTGATGCGTAGAACTGGGGGATGCGAAAACTCCCTGGAAAAAAAGAGATTCCTAGAATGTTTGATCTTGATAATTTGTGTTTCCATTACTTTTGAAAAAGCAAGCATGTAACCGGCATAAAAATAACCCAAATGCTGAACAGATAGCAAACTGGGAAGCCCGTTTGCAGGAAACGCTTCAGGATTCTTCCGAGCCCAAATTAATTTTGTAACTAGACATCCAATACCAGATTCTGCAATATAGTGTATTTTTGACTTGAAGGCACTTCAACATCAATCTCCACGAAGCTGTTATGGGTTCTACACAGTTATTGACCTTCTGACTTACAACAGCTTTAGTTCTGAACTTCTTTTCCACTACTTGCCCTCGAAGCTGTTATGGGTTCTACACAGTTATTGACCTTTTGACTTACAACAGCTTTAGTTCTGAACTTCTTTTCCACTACTTGCCCTGACTCCCAGATATGTGTTGGAAGCCATTGTGTGAATGGAGAAAATGCTGATCCCTTGCAATCAGAAGCTGCTTCTCTGTAATTTGGGTCGATTTTCTCTCAAAACATCAGCACCATATGCTGGATTTAAGTGGCTTTGCTAGACTAAGTTCTCACTGAGGCTGAGAGAGAATAATTTCTGAAACTGAAGCCAAGGGAAATCGTCATACTCCTGGGTATGAAACTAATTCTCATATGCCAGAGATACCAAATGAAAACTAGAAAACACAGATGTTTCTCTCAGAAGTGAGGAAGAAGCAACTGTTTTGCCCAAACAGGAGACGAACCCTATCAGTTCCTTATGAACGGTGCTCAGTGACTCATTGTGAAAGGGTGCATGTACAAAATATTTTTGTTCTTCTCTCTCTCTTGTCCTTTTTTTTAAACAGGTGTTTGGTCATGGAAAGGCAAATGGAGAACCCACCTGGGCTCTTCTGCTCACAGCCCTGATTGCCGAACTCGGCATTCTCATTGCCTCCCTTGATATGGTGGCCCCAATCCTTTCTATGTAAGTTTGCAGGATGTTGGTTTTAGAGGTAGGGGAGATTTTGGGCCTTCTGACAAAGTGCAACATTTGTACTTCTCTGGAAGCTTTCTCCGTTGAGTTGAGTTGGAAATGTCGAAGGTTTGTCCTGGATGAGTGGAGGGAAGAAGCTCCAATGGCCTCTTTTTTTTCATTCTTGGAGAAGCTCAGAATGTTTTTATGGGATGATGTAGCCTAATTTTTGGAGTATAATAGGAAATTAAAGATGAGAATATGCTGCAAGGAGACCGTTGGCGAGATTTCAAATTCCCCACTCTTAGGAGATACCTAGAAAATTGGTTGCAAAGGTGCTTTCCCAAAGATAACTGGACTTCCTTGAGGTTTTTTTTCCTTGAATGAAAAAAGAAAAGAAAGTCCAGTTGGATTTGGAAAAGCACCTTTGTGCCAACCATGACGTGGATGATTAAGAATCTCCATAGACATCTAGAGAATTGCTCATTCTTTCAGCTATTTCTTTACCGTTTCTACTCATATAGAATAGGAATGATGGAGTTTGAACCAATACATCTGGAAGAATCTAGGTTGGGGTCTTCAAACTTGGCCCTCTTATGACTTGTGGACTTCAACTCCCAGAATTCTTCAGTCAGGCACGCCGGCTGAGGAATTTTGGGAGTTGAAGTCCACAAGTCATAAAAGGGCCAAGTTTGAAGACCCCTGATCCAGGTCGAAGGAACCTGATATAAACACTAAGAAACTTTTTGCTGTCAGCAGCTCAAAAAATAAAAAAACTGGGATTTAAAAATGACTGAGAACTTGAGTGAAGGCCAACATTTCGTTAGATGTCAGCCTTCTCACATAAAATCTCTTCGCAGCTCATGCCAGAACTCTGATGTTTGTGAGATGTAGCAGCCTTGTTAGATTTCAGACCTTATTACTAGATGTTGCTTTATTAAAAACAAACATTGCTTAACATCTATGGTACACAGGCTGTTCTGGAAGAGTCACTTGGTCTAGTGCAAGGGTGGGGAACCTTGGCTCTTTTATGACTCGTGGACTTCAACTCCCAGAATTCCTGAGCCAGCATGGCTCAGCTTGGAAACCTCTCCCTTTCCCCTCAGCATGATTGGCTGAGGAATTCTGGGAGTTGAAGTCCACAAGTCATAAAAGAGCCAAGGTTCCCCACCCCTGGTAGTGGTTGCGCATCGCGAAGGAACATCAGTTATATTGAAGAAACAACTAGGGACATTCTCAGTACATTTCTGAGTGTTTCCTGGGATACACTTTAAAAGTGTTGCAGTCAAAAGAAGAAGTCGATTGTGTATTTTTAAAGACAATTTTTGACTGCCACCTAGCGTCGATTCTGATACATCGGTGTTAAACAAAAGGAATCCGTCTATTACTGCAGTTATTTCTCATGCAGTTATTACTCATGACTGCTGTGTCAGTCTTTGAACAAATCTAATATTTAGCCACTTAGAAGACTTTTCCATTCTTCTGTTGTTTTCCTTTCCTGCATTTCCACAGCGAGTCAGGAACATATGCAGGGTGTGTTAATGAAAGTCAAGAGGGGATCGCAGTGGGGTGATTGAGACTTCGTTGGGTTTTACGTGCATCGCACATGGAAAATAAGTGGAGCTCTCATCACATCTTTATAGCCATCTTGGCATTTCTGACAACACCCTGCAGAGATCCTGATGGCAAGCAGTGTAACGAGCTGTTGCAACAATAGGATGCCGCAGAAAGCAAAAAGGTGTTCAAATGAAACTCACAAGGAAGACATGGGCAACTGCCAACTTTCTTAATGATATTCCTCTCTCCTCTTTCTTCCTCTTTGCCACTCAAAAATAGGTTTTTCCTAATGTGTTACCTGTTTGTCAACCTGGCCTGTGCAGTGCAGACTCTCTTAAGAACTCCTAACTGGCGTCCCAGATTTAAGTATTACCATTGGTAAGAATTTTTTTGAATGAATGAACTAGGAGGGCAATTGCTTCTAAAATTGTCTTTGTCACCGTGTTAAGAGTCAAAAGCCCAAAACACTTGAGAGTTTGTGAAGTCTGGGAAACCAGAAGTGCTTGGAAAATGTCTCTTAGCCTATTATGGCCTGGTTCACATCTTGTTGTGTCATACTGATAATATCTGCAAGTTGGAATATGTAAATAAACTGCTGTAGAGACTGCAAAATCACCAACAAAGGTTCTCTGGAATCTTTTCATCCTTCAAGCTGTCTTCCTTCAAGAAATACTTGTATGCATGAAACCAGCCATCATAACCTATTGATATGTTGTGTTTTATTTTCTTAGGGCCCTGTCCTTCTTAGGGATGAGTATCTGCCTTGCCCTGATGTTCATCTCCTCTTGGTATTACGCTTTAGTGGCCATGCTCATTGCCGGCATGATCTATAAGTACATTGAATATCAGGGGTAAGTGAATTTGTAATGAAAGTAACCTGATTTAAGATAGATGGGAGGGATAGAATTATAAAATTGGGCCTTTAAGCCCCAACCTGTTTCTATCTAGACCAAGGGTGTCCAACCTTGGCAACTTTTAAGACTTGTGGACTTCAACTCCCAGAATTCCCCAGCAAATATGGAGTTTTAGTCCATGGGTCTTAAAGTTGTCAAGGTTGGACACCCCTGGTCTAGACATTTTGAGACCCCAGCTTCCTCAAGATGTTGCCAGCAAAAGGGCATTGTAAGATTTATATCTAGACAGCAACACTGAAAGAAGACGACATTTGTAAAGTCCTTGGTGCTCTCTGAACTTGCCTGTTGTCTTACAGACATTTCATTACCCGACATAAACAGTGTGAATGAGTGTGAGGTTTTCTCCTTGTTTATATATAGTAGTTTGCCCTGCCAGCATTGGGGGGGGGGTCAAGAAGACATTTGATTTAATAGGCGCTTCCCTGGAAATACTGTATCTACGGGGGAGGGGAGTGAAGATAAGAAACATTAGAATTCCCAAGGTAGGTATATCAGAATCTGACTGGTCACTAAGTGACCAGCTATAAGTTGAGGACTACCTATATTGGGTCTCTGAAAAAGAATAGTGTTCTGAATTGACTCGATTCTGTCAATGCAAAGGATCAGAATAATCTCTCATGTTGCAGCATAAGTTTATTCAACAAGAATCTGGTCAACTAAACTTCAGTACTAAATTGGCTCCAGATAAAGGTCAATGGAATTCAGGAAGCTTGGACTAGGACTGTTTATGGCAATGTAAGGATTCTAAGCTGGTGATGCTTTTAACTCTGCCTCCTCCAGCTCTGCTTGCTCTTCTACAATTCTGACGTTCTCTTTTCTAGGGCAGAGAAGGAATGGGGTGATGGTATCCGGGGCCTATCTCTAAGCGCTGCCCGGTATGCTTTGCTGAGATTGGAAGAAGGTCCTCCCCATACCAAGAACTGGAGGTGGGTTCTTTCAATTTGATGTAAATTTTGTGTAGTTTTTTTTTCAATGGGGAAGACTTTGTTACCACTTCTCCGTGATTTAAAATTAGGCATTCAAACTCTCTTTGGGGACCAGTTCTCCTCCAGTTGCTAAACCTTGAGGCACCCTGAAGTCCTAAAAACATAAATATGGAAAGGGGATTGCCGGAATCACAGAATATTTGCAGCACAAATATGATACCTTTCGTGGTGTCTCGGGGTCCTTAAAAAAAAAAAAAAATCAAACCAGATCCCTCTTTGCATTGGATTTGGCTGGGACCCAACTGTCTGCATGAAACAAATGGCAATGAGCCAAAATGAGCCTGGGGCAAAACACTGAAATAGCTAAAAGTCTCTTGGGAACAGCCAGAAGAGAACTAAAGGTGGCCAGTCCAGCTTTAAAGTGGCTTAATTTATTCCAGTTTCTTGTTGGGGGGAGAATGACCTCTGTCACTCAACATTCTCTTCCTTTTCTCCCTTTCTTAGGCCCCAATTGTTGGTATTGCTGAAACTGGATGAGGATTTGCATGTGAAATACCCCAGGCTCTTGACATTTGCTTCGCAACTGAAGGCCGGGAAGGGGTTGACCATTGTTGGAACTGCAATACAAGGCAACTTTCTGGAAAGTTACGGAGAAGCCCAGGCAGCTGAGCAGGTAAGGCCTGGCAGAAACCAGGTGTGAAAGCAAGATGTAATTGGTTAAACACATCTTAACTAATTAATTGTAGGAGATATATAGTTTTTACTGGCCAGTCAAAGCTACTGCAGCCGGATTTATTAATATCCTAAGCTGAGTATTTTAAGCTCATCTAGGTATATTATCTGTGATATGATTTTAAGAGGCAGACAAGAGACAGGCTTCTATTAATTGATTGATTCTGCTACCACACTTGGAATACTGCATCCAGTTCTGTCAGCATGATAGAAATAATGTTGAGACTCTAGAACAGTGGTTCTCAACCTTTTTAATGCCGCGACCCCCCAACCGGTCGTAAGTCGAGGACTACTCAACCGGTCGTAAGTCGAGGACTACTCAACTGGTGCAGCACCGTTTGCAGAATGGGACTTTTGGCGGGCTCAGCAGGGCAGAGACAGCCTGGACAATTCCTATTGGCTTTTGAAAGCCAATAGAATTAGACTCTATTCAAGAGAGTCTATTCTATTGGCTTTCAAAAGCCAATAGAATAAAAGGGAGTAGCACAGCTAAGGAAAAGGGGGGGGGGGAAATGGCAGACTGCGTTGTTTGGCGACCCCCGTGAAATGGTCGTTCAACCCCAAATGGGGTCCTGACCCACAGGTTGAGAACCACTGCTCTAGAAAGACTGCAGGGAAGAGCAACAAAGACTATGAGGGGATTGGAAGCTAAACCATACAATGAATGATTGAGGGAACTAAATACGTTTAGTTTAACAAAGGGAAGGACGAGGGGTGATGTGATAGCAATCCTTTCAGTAACTGAAGGGCTGTCACAGAGAAGAGAGGGGTCAACTTATTCTCCAAAATACTTCTAGGCAGGATAAGAAGTAATGGATGGAAGATCATTAAAGAGATCCAACCTAGAATTAAGGAGAAATTTCATGACAGTGAGAACAATTAATCGGTGTAACAGGATACGTTTGTGCAGCCCACTTGGTGGCATGCTGCAACCTGGTACTGATCCACGGACCAGGGGTTGGGGACCCCCATTCTAATATCATGAGTACAGTTCACTGAGGGATCTTTGGGTAATTAGCATTCAGTGTAGTCTCTTTCCACCCTATTGTGATTAAATAGTCTTTTCTTTAACATACATCGGTTTAAAATCTCTGCACCAGTGGCCACCTGGATGCAGTTTGATTTTTCATCTATAAAAGGGACAGATCTTTCTGTTTTTAATGGTCTGCTAGCCAGTTTCCCCTAATTATGACCCTTGGATCTCCTTGGCTATCTTCCAGGCCATCAAGAATATGATTGAGATTGAGAAAGTCAAAGGATTTTGCCAGGTTGTTGTAGCTAATAAGGTCCGTGATGGCATTGCCCACTTGATACAGTCCTGTGGATTGGGTGGCATGAAGCACAACACAGTGGTTTTGGGGTGGCCTTATGGCTGGAGGCAGAGTGAAGATCCTAGAGCTTGGAAGACCTTTATAGGTAAGTTCAAAGAATGATTAGCATCCTTCTTGGGTTTTTTTTTCTTCCCAAGCATGATTCAAGCATCGTTTTCTATGGTGAATAGTAGAGTGTGTAAAACTACCTATTTAGAATTCAAAATAAGGCTGTTAACCTGCTGCTCAAAAGAAGAACTATGATGTTGTGGTGAGTTGAAAACTGGATGGACTTTAACCTCACTAAAAATTTCTGTCTGCCTGTAAAGAGTTTCTGTATGTGGAATTCTTCCTAAGTTTTCTATATCCTTTCTTATTTCATCATTTCTTGATAATTTTATATTTCTCAAGGAACAAGGGGGCACAGAATGTATGGCTAAAATTCAATGAAGGGCTGTTCTCAGTTTCAGCCTATGACCCTTATTATCAGTTTATGTGAGCGTTTACAATTTTATTTTTAAGAACTGTGGGAACTACCGTTTATCAAGTTAGGATATTATTTTGAGTAACTCAGATTTGTCAACATGGATTGACTGCAATGATAGATCAGAGTTTCTTTGGGGTTCCAGTCAAGGACTTTGTTTACATCTTCCTAGCAGAGCCAAGGTGTTCTGCATGCGAATTATTATTATTATTATTAGTTCTAGAATTATAGTCTTCCTGATTAATAGCATTGCCACTTTGAAATTCACGCAACATTGTTTTTGTGTCTTTAAAATATTAGTTAAGTTTACCTACTATACTGTTTTTTGTTCTGTTTGTTTGGAGGCAATGCTCCAAAATTCTTCAGTCCTTTTACCTATCTTTTAACTTTGTGCAGCCTACATGTCACTCAGTACTCAACAGAGACTTGGTGTTGACCATTTCCTTCCAGTTCTGCTACTGCACTGTCACAATTAGTGCCAATCATTTCCAATGTTCCCTACTAGCTTCCTATAAGGAACAATGGGGAAGCCAGCAGGAAGTCAGAAGCTGCTCTTCATTCCACTGTATTTTTGCCCACCCATTCACGGTGATTCTGTTTATCTGTATATAAAAAGAAATATCTCTGAAACAATGATCCAATGCATGACAAGTTGTCTAGTATGAGATACATTTAAAGCCCAGTTCTATAGGCAACCAGATTTAACTCTCAGCAACCATGTCTTTCCTCTTTTTAACTTCAGACACTGTCCGTTGCACAACTGCAGCCCACCTTGCCTTGCTTGTGCCGAAAAATGTGTCCTTCTATCCCAGCAATCACGAGCGTTACAATGAAGGGACCATTGATGTGTGGTGGATCGTGCACGATGGAGGCATGTTGATGCTGCTTCCGTTTCTCCTTAAACAGCATAAAGTAAGAATGTCAAGAACTTGTTGAGAGTTTACAAGGCCTGCCCTGGGCTGAACCAGGTGAACCGTCAGTAGTCTTTATTGATTGATGTTGCCTGATACAATTGAGAAAATTCACAACTTTTCCAGGATGTTCCCTCCCCTCTTTTTTTTAGAAGCAACATTTAATCAGACAACATCGATGTATTGGGCAACGTCAATGCATAGTTTTTTTTTTTAAAAAAAATCTCCCTAAAATATTAGATGATGTATATCGGAGGTTAACTGTATGGTGACCTGTATCAGGTAAGGAGTTTAATTTAATGGGTTGTTGTACCGGTAGTCCTCGAGTTAACAACCAATGACTTAGTAGCTGTTCAAAGTTACAACAGACCCCTGTGAAAGATACAGCCAGTTTCCCAGTTCTGAGCATAGTTGTATGAACCTGTCAAATAACCCTTGTATAAAGGTGTGCTTTACCAAATTCATTGAACTCTGTAGAGAGGACCGAATGTTTTTGAGAAGATAAAAAGTTTCTCCCTCTATAGGTTTGGCGAAAATGCAAAATGCGAATTTTCACCGTGGCCCAAATGGACGACAACAGCATCCAAATGAAGAAAGACCTGGCCGTCTTCCTTTACCACCTCCGAATTGAGGCTGAAGTAGAAGTGGTGGAAATGGTAAGAGACTCCTTCAGGGGGTGGTCTATGTCTTGTGGGCTTGGTTCCAACATGGTCTTTTCCCTTTCTTTAGCAAAACAGTGACATCTCGGCCTACACTTACGAGCGGACCTTGATGATGGAACAGAGATCGCAGATGTTAAGGCAGATGCGGCTGACCAAAACGGAAAGAGAGAGGGAGGTATGTCTTCAAATTGCCAATGCAAAATGAGGGTGCAGTGACCAACAGTTGGGTTGGTTATGTTATGTTTAAAACAAGGATGGCAAAATGTTCAGGCTGTTAAGATTTCTTTAGGCAGCCAGGACAAGCCATGGAGGAGTCAAAAGGAGGTCCTGCATTGTGAGATGTTGTAAATCCTTGTACAGAATTGAATATAACCATAAGTCACTCTGACCTGGTTGCAAAATCCCGTATGAAACCCAATCCTGCCCCTGTGGTATGGGTACCGTAGAAACCACAGCCCACGTTCTTCTGTATTGCTGGTTCTATAAGGACATTCATCTTCAGTTGATTTCCCTTCTTTTATTTAAATTTCCAGGGCACTCTCATAGCTTTTATTTAAATAATCAAGATAAATGGATTTCTCTAAAAGTAGCAAAATTTGGCTATGCTACGTGTAAATGGTTGCTAGTAATTCTTCTTCATTTTATTGATTGTATTTTTATTGGTCAATGACTGAAATGAAGTTCTATCTGTCTGCCCTGGTTACACTGCCAATCAGTCGTGATATTTTGCTCATCCAAGATACTTCCAATCTGTGTCCCATTTTCCAAGCACACAACCAATGATATTTCTCATTGGAATAGCGCGACACTGTCCTTTGGAGAACAACCATTTTGTTATGACCCAGGCGGGCAAGGCAAGGCAGGCCTCTAGAGCAGGGGTCCCCCACCACCTGTCCGTAGATCATTACTGGGCTGCAGCATACTAGCAGTCGGGCTGCACAAACTAGCAAAGCCCCATCTGTGGGATGTAGGCAGCACACAAAACCACCCCCCCCTCCGGTCCATGGGAAAACCTCTCTCCACGGAACTGGTCTCTGCTCTAGAGACCCTGTCAACTGTCCAGTTTATTTGCTCACAGTAAATGTTCTTTGTGAGGAGATGGGGCAATCTTCTCCCTAGTAGCCTTACCAACCTTCTCTGAGCTTGCCTGTGCTCTACTCTCTGTGTCGTTGGATCAAATAGAGGAGGCAACTGTTCCTCATCAAAAGGGATCTGCTGCCTCTCAGCACCACTGCCTCTCAGCAGCCAATCCTCCCACGTCTGTGAAGGGAGCAGCTCTCCATCTGGTTGACCACCTGCCTGAGGGGCCTGGGACAGCATCATCCTCAGCCCCTGGTCTCTCCAAACATGCCAATCCCTGTCTGACGGTCCCGATTCCAACGCCTTCTCCAGGCTGGGCTCCGATGAGGCCATGACATATTTCCCATCGTTTGTTCTTCTAGGCTCAGCTGGTGAAAGATAGACACTCAATCATAAGATTAGAGAGCCTTTACTCCGACGAGGAGGATGAAGGGGAAGCAATCCCAGAAAAGATCCAGATGACTTGGACGAAAGCTAAACACGACTCTGAGAATCAGATCGGAAATAGTGTGGTGGAGCACTTCAAAGAACTTATTAGTCTTAAACCGTAAGTATCCGAGATCTTTGCTCGAATGAAAACTCTGCTGTTTTTACTTTGACCCAAATCCTTTAGGTCAGTAATATTGCAGAAAATCTTGTTTGGGTTAGCTCTGTGCTCATCCTGATGCTTTTGTTTTTGTTTGATACTATCTAAAATATTGTCATTATTTTGTCCTGGACAAAAAAGGTACAGCTGTACGAAATCACTACTATTGCCAAGAACAAAAAAATCTTAATTAAGGAGTGATGCATACTGTCCTCCCCTGGTTAAATTGGTAGGAAGTTCCCCAAAGATCCAAAAATATGTGGCATTGTTCAATGAAACACCACCACCCTTTTGATAAATAGAAACAGGAAACTTTTTGATGAGGAAGCAGCTGTAAGTGGAAGCTCTCTCCCTCCTTAGATAAATCTTAATTTTTGGTAGCAACAGAGCTACAAATCAACTCTTGAGTCTCCATTTTGGTCTACCTTACGTATTTTATTTTGCAAACAGAAGGCTGAAAGGTACCCCCCCCAAATCAGGAAGTGTAGAGTTTCTTTAAGCTTGTTGCTATTCCCAAATCCATTTTGATTATGTAAATAGAGACGCAATACGTTATTGTAATTATCATTGCCACCATTTTTTTTTGCATTTTGTTTTGAATGCACAACTCTTGACATTTGAACAAGTATTTTTTTTTTAAGGGGATGGAACTCACACATACACACACACATGAACATCAGTCTCAAGATGACGAAAGGGTAACACTTGTGGCAGGGAGGCATTCCAAAACAAAGTGTGTGTGTGTGTGTGTGTGTGTGTGTGTGTGTGTTGCTTTCAAGACAATCTTGATTCTTGGCAGTAAAAGCCTGGACAAGTTCCTAAAGTTTTCTTAGCAACATTTTTCAAAAGTGGTTTGCTCTTGTCTTCTTCTACTGTGGGCTGAATGAAGTAACCAGCCCAAAGTCACCCAGCTGACTTTGTGCCTACAGCAGGACTAGAATTCACAGTCTCCTGGTTTCTAACCTGGTACCTTTAGCTGCTACACCAAACTGGATCCCAACAATATTTCTGGGGAGTAAGCTGTTTTCGACTTGTTGATTTCTATGTCATTTTGACCCCTTTAGTGACCAGTCAAATGTCCGAAGGATGCACACTGCTGTGAAGCTGAATGAAGTCATTGTCAATCGGTCCCATGATGCTCGACTTGTTCTTCTCAACATGCCTGGTCCACCCAAAAACACAGAGGGGGATGAAAACTGTATCCTTTTCAATGCAATCCATGATTCCACGTAAAATGTGTAGAACCTTCTGATGGATTCATCTAAATTTAGTTAGGTCTCCACTAGCTGCTAGCAAGCAATATGACTCCTTATAGCCCAAATACACTTTTCTAAGAAAAATGATTCATTTTCTCAATGATATATAGACCATAGTGTGGTGTAAACTTTCCTTGGTAATTGTTATTTATTTCTTACAATCTGATTTACACACTTAAAGCTACTCCAGGAAAGCGTCATTCTAGATATAAAAATGCCATGCAGTAAATTTTAATTGCAATTCAACTTAACGTTGCACTAGATTTGGGTTGTTTTTTTTTTCCATTTCATTGCACGGGTATATATCCAAAAATGAATTTGAGGTTCACAGGAACAACATGTGGCCCCAACAGCCACGTAAGAAAATGTTTCTCAGAAATGAAATTTAGGCCAGGGGAAAATTTTTAAAGTTATATTTGATCAGATACTGATTCCAGAATTCTGTTAACAGCAATTGTTGTGTGGCTTGTTCTTGCTAGAGGCTGATTTTCCAAGTGAATTGTTGGTTTCAGGTCTGTGTAGCAGTTTAATAACAATCGGTCTCACAGCTTGCAAAGACTAGTTGTCAAATACAACAAGCTGTGTGTCATTGCACTGTTACAAAGCTTGATGTTATTGAGATCCAGCAGACTGGATCTTCACGGAGTTCCAAAAAAGGCAAAAAAAAAAAAAAAAAGTTCCTGCCACAGCACCTCCAAATGCTTTTCATGGGCGTATTTTATGAATACAGGATATCCTTCACGTACGACCACCATTGAGCCCAAAACTTATGTTATTAAGCAAGACATTTGTTAGGTGAGTTTTGCCCCAGTTGTTAAGTGAATCTGGCTTCCCCATTGACTTGGCTTGTCAGAAAGTCACTCAAGGTGGATCGCACCTCCCCGGGTCATTGCAGTGGTCATAAATATGAGTCAGTCTGAATTTTGATACTGCAATGGTCGTAAGTATGAAAAATGGTCGTAAGTCACCTTTTTCAGGACCGTTGTAACTTGGAACAGTCTCTAAATGAACTACCTGTATATCTGCCAATGTTTTAAATGTATTTGCAGTCCTAGAATATATGTTTGGCACATATGTTTGACATCCCGTAGCAGTCCCGTATTACGCTGACATTTCTTCTCCTTAAATCCTGTGATCCAGACATGGAATTTCTTGAAGTTTTAACTGAAGGTTTGGAGCGTGTGTTGCTGGTTCGAGGTGGAGGGCGAGAAGTCATTACTATTTACTCCTGATCCAAAAAGATTCGCTCTAGTTACTTTTCTACCTGCTTGGCGAGAAAAGACATTCCAGATGGAGAGGATTCCGACTTCTCTTGCTTTCTGTTCCTCGGTTTTCACACGTGCGCACCAATACACTACAGATGTGAATTCGAATTCCAGTGAATTCTTCCATTGGCCATGTATCTGAGTATTTCCGCCAGGGACACGCGTTTAATCACAAAGCTGGGGTGCCAGTTCGCTTCTGCTTTTCTATTCTGATAGATTTCTGTGCAGTTTCAATGCAGAAGCTTTCCATGTATTTTTTTTTTTCCCAAAAAAAACAAGTACGAAATTTTAAGGTGTGTACATTGCTAAAGGAGGACTGAATTTGGTTATTAGGTAACAGGATTTGAAAACAAATCAATTCTTTGTTAGGATTTCAGGGGGGCTTTTATAGAACTGCTAGTTTTTTTTCTGCTCAATATTTTTTACGTGAAAAGAACCCTGCATTGTTTTTAAAAGGTGTGTGTGCGTGTGTGTGTGTATAGTTTTTGTAAACCCACCACAGCCACAATTTCAGTGTTGGATAAGAATTTATACTTCACCAGTTTTAAATTATAACATTACGGTTTCTTGCAGTGTTACATACAAAACTGGGGGTCTCAGATTGAAATAGACCCTCTATGACCTATTTATTTTTTTCCTATTTATTGATTAGAATCAGTGGCAATAAAAATATCACCTAGAGTAATTTGTTAAAGTTGTGTTGCTGCAATAAGAGAGCCTGCTGGCAGCTAAATTTGCAACTGTCAACTAGGGGTATTTTTTTTTTAAGGGTATTTTTTAAAGATTTACTGCTATCTTTGTCCTCTTCCAAACTGCAGGCAAATATATAGGTCACACTTATCTAAACTTGTTAAGTACACAATATGCTCGCTACAGTTCGAAGAGTGGTAAACATTAAGGAAAGGACATTTTGTACTCGAAACGTAGTTTTTTAAAATTAGTTTTCACATCCGTTCATTTGTACTTATTGTACAGGTCTGTATCTTTCTCTTTTTTCCAATAAAACATTGCATACTTTTGAATCTGTATTGGATGACCTGAAGTAAATAGAACTGTTTAATCATGATTAAGGTAAGTATTTCTGCCATATGATTTATCTTGACCTTTTTTCCAGCTAGTTTGACGTCTCCAGAAGAGGGTACAGCCCGTTTGATAAAAGCTGTAAGAGTAGACTAGAAAGAGTGCAGAGAAGAGCAACAAAGATGATTAGGGGACTGGAGGCTAAAGCACATAAGGAACGGTTGCTGGAATTGGGTATGTCTAGTTTAATGAAGAGAAGGATGAGGGGAGACATGATAGCAGTGCTCCAGTGTCTCAGGGGCTGCCCCAAAGAAGAGGGAGTCAAGCTACTCTCCAAAACGCCTGAAGGCTGGACAAGAAGCAACGGATGGAAACTAGTCAAGGAGAGAAGCAACCTGGAACTAAGGAGAAACTTAGTGACAGAACAATTAACCAGTGGAACAACCTGCCTCCAGAAGCGGTGAATGCTCTGAAACTGGAAGTTTTTAAGAAGAGACTGGACAGCCATTTGTTCGAAATGGTATAGGTTTCCTGCCTGAGCAGGGGGTGGACTAGATGACTTCCAAGGTCCCTTCCAACTTTATTATTATTATTATTATTATTATTATTATTATTATTATTATTATTACTACTACTACTACTACTACTACTACTACTACTACTACTACTACTACGTGGGATGCAGTTCGCTATGGAGATGATTGGGCTAAAGTTAGCCTTTCTCAAAGGCTTGTCCTATACCTAAACTGTTGTGTAATTCCCTTTGCCTAGAAGACATGGGGACTGTGCTCAAAAGCATCTTTGGACCACAGAGTTGAGGGCACCTGATTAGCTATTCAATCTTTCTGTTTGGTTTTATTATTAATCACTTAATAATAAAACCAACCAGAAAGATTGAATTAACTATACGGGCCTCTTCAAGAATATTTATTATATGTTTGTGTGTGTGTGTGTGTATATGTGTACATCACAGGGATGTGCAGGTCGTCCTTGACGTAATGACCATAATTGATCCTGGCACTACAGTCATAAATCGTGGCAGTTATTAAGCCACTTGACTGTGCCCACCAATGTTATGACCTTTTTTTGCACTGGTGGTTAAGGAAATTCAATTTTATTTTCTTCAATGGGTGTTTTTCTGCGGGAAACAGAAATAAATGCTAGCAAAACCTGCCAAAAATCATGATCACATGACCAGGAGGTACTGCAAACACTAAAAGTAATGCTCTATGAGTAGTCACTAAGCGAGGATTACCTATATTTGATATGAAGCTTTTAATTTCTTTGTATCCTGTAATGCCCTTCGAAGTTGGTGCGCGAAGAAAAAAAGTGAATTCAGTAATAAAACAGGATAATCATTTTTAATATGCGCCAGGGCCTTCAAACTTGCCACAGAAAGAGCCATTTTACAAAGTCACCTAGACAAAATATATACATTTATAGTCGCCCCTTTTTTAATCTCCTAAAATTGTACAAATCTCTTGCAAATTTAGTGCCATTCAGCCTTATACATACACTCATTCCTTTGACGTACACGTACATTTAAAAATAAATAATGCTCCTGCCTCATAAAGAGAAATGGATCTTACAGCTTTTTTAAAAAACATGCACACACAAAAAGGTGTTGGTTTTTTCCTTTTCTGACATTTTTCTAGCTGTTGCATAGGTATAACCAGGCACGGTCCATAATGCGGCTCGGTTTTTGCTTTTGCTCGTTAGGATGCCATTTCAAAAAATTTAATCCGGTTGAGGCACGCTGTTCCAGAGAACATTAGGCAAGCAAACACAGTTTCACCTAGCAAAGACACAAGACAGGATAAAGTTGTGTTTTTAGGTTTCGGAAAAGTTTAACACTGGAGTTGATATAGATCAGGGGTAGGCAACCTTGGCTCTTTTAGGCAGTGCCTTTTTTCTAAAAAAAAAAAAAAAAAGTGCCAGAACTCACACACATCATACAACCCCGCCTTGCCTACCCTACAAGGTTCCATCCAAAAAAGGTGCTGGAACGCCGTTCTGGGCGTTCTATGAGAAAAAAAGCCCTGCTTTTATGACTCGTGGGCTTCAACTCCCAGAATTCCTGAGCCAGCGTGGCTTAGCTTGGAAACCTCTCCCTTTCCCCTCAGCGTGGCTGGCTCAGGAATTCTGGGAGTTGAGGTCCACAAGTTATAAAGGAGCCAAGGTTGCCTACCCCTGATATAGATAGTCCTTGAGCCCAAAATTGATGTTGCTAAGTGAGACATTTATTAAGTGAGTTTTGACTTTTCTTGCCGCGTTTGTTAAGTGAATCACTGCAGATGTTAAATTACTAACATCTGGCTTCCCCCATGGATTCTGTTTGCTAGAAGGCCGCAAAAGGTGATCACATGACCCCGGGATACTGCGACCGTTGTAAATATGAACCAGTTGTCAAGCATCCAAATATAAATCACATGACCCTGGGTATGCTCCAATGCTCCTAAGCGTGAAAAATGCCCATAAGTCCCTTTTTTCAGCACCGTTGTAGCTTTGACTGGTCACTAAGCAAATGATTATAAGTTGAGGACTGCCTCCAGTTTAAAACAAACTTGGATTGGCCACGAATAGGCCATGTTTGGGGTCTGAGGGACATTTTTCTCTACGCACCATACAGACCATGTTTTGCTCGGAACATCAGATAACAAAGCCAGCATCTCTTCTTCCTGCAACTTGGAAAACCTGTTGGAAAACCACACAGAACTTCTAATCAAAGCAATGTTTTCAGTGCAAGGTAACAGCTCTCACCAGGTGGCTTTCAAAATCACCCACCCAAGGAAACTCAGATTGCTAGGAATAGAATTTGCTGTTGCTGACTCGTTTCTCTTTCAATCTGAAAGAAAGCAAAGGGGGGGAAAGAATTCAGCTGCAACATTACATGCCCGAGTTTTCTTCTTCCCTAGCATAGTGATTTCTTAACTATATGTATTTACTGTAAATGCTCACGGGGGGGAAGCAAATAATTCAATAATAAACAGAAGGGATAATAAATGTGTAGGTCAGTGATGGCAAACCTTTTGGAGACCGAGTGCCCCCAAACCGGCTCGCCCCCGTTCCGCCCACCCTGCTCCGCCCTCACCCTGCCCACCCTCTGGGCCATCCACAGCACGCCGCAGATCGCCCAGGCGGCCCTGCAGCGCTATGGTGGCCACGCCTTCCGCCCGCACTCCGCAGCATCATCTGCTGCCCAGCTGCCATGTGCTTGGCTGTGCAGCTCCGCACGGGCCACACCCAGGGGTGATTCTCCTCCGGAGGGGCTGTTGGTGAGGAGGGAGCTACGGGGGGAGGCGGGGCTGGAGCGACGGCATGCGGGAGGCGGGGCTGGAGCAACGGCATGCATGCCCACAGAGACGGCATGTGTGCCCACTAGTGCCATAGGTTCGCCACCACTGGTGTAGGTGATACATTTGCAGATGGCACTGTATGCTTTGGAAGTTCCAAGCTGTTCTATGAGTAGATTCGTTTATACTTCTTGTGCATTCATCACAGGAAGTATTACTATTGCTTTACAAAGACCCCACTTGACATACTGCACCCAGTTTTGGCAACAGTCAAGAACCTACTGTGAAGGAACTTCTGATGTCGTTCTTGGTTCCTCGGGTCTGGCACATACCTCTTGTTGCAGGTTTCCTGATAGACCTGCAGCTGGCCCTCGTTTGCGCTGAACTCTCTCAGCAAAGCATCCCGACTGGGACTCCGGGTGTTTCGCCGAGTGTCGTACAGCTGATTGTTCAGTTCTGCTTGCCGTTGACGCAGCTGCCGAAAGGAGGAGTACAGATCTTCCTCACTTTCCTTTAGAGGAAAAAAGGAAAGGGATCTTAGAACACAAACTGATAGAGAAGCGAAATAAGGATTGGATGGACCAGCCAGAGGTCGTTTGAAGAGTTATGCGCATGTAACTGAAAGCAAATTTTTAAGTTGTCTAAATTTTTGCCGTTACGTTATGCCAGACATTGGCCAGATTGAGTCAGTCCTGGAAAGATGGGAACCTTTTATTTTAAACCACATCAAATGTGAAAACACGTGTAGTTCTTCATACGTGTTTATAGCTTTGCTGGCTGGGGAATTCTGGGAATTGGAGGCCACACATCTGAAAGTGGCCAAGGTTGAGAAGCACTGGTTTAAACTGTTCTAAGCCTAAGTGCTCCTCATAAGGAGTGAAAAAGCAAGGTTAGAAATCAACAAAACGAACAAAAAACTTTATAACTCAGAAGCTCCTGCAGCAAATGCTGCTTTACAAGTATGAGTGAAGAAGAATCCTTGTCTTAATCTACACCCCTCCGCAAGCTCCTTCCAGGAAATGTGGGATATGGAAGAAAGGAAAACCGCCTCAGCAGTCCTGGCTTCACAAACTCTTCAGGAAAGAAGCCAAACCTGATGGAATCACATGCAGAAAAAAACTCAGTTCTGGAAACGGTTGAGCAAAATGGTTCCAAAGCTTTTTGCTTAAGAAAAGAGTATGGTGTTTCTCCTCAAATTGTCTTCGCTCAAGTTTTCTCGCCTTTAGTCTTGTTGTCAAGTTTTGATAACGTGGGGATCAAAGTCCCTTTATGGCGTAGAGGTGCTCACTGCATCCCAACAAATCCCACAGGAGATTTTGTAAGAGAAGAAAACTGCAACTCACTAATAGTAAGGTTCTATTGTGACACGTGTTTGTTTATTTTTTAAATTTTTATGTCGCCCATCTTGTTGATGTAGCTAGGCGGCTTACAATATAATGACAAGTTAAAAGTTTTAAAAAAGGTAATACGAAGCAATTGTCAGGCATGAAAGATCAGGCCCAATTACACTAATTTATGGCTAAACAGCCTATACAGAGGAATCTGCTCAACTAACTGTGAGCACCTGTTTGGAGTTAGGAATTCAAGGGAAAGTTGGACTTAATTCACTTGTGGCTATGTAGGGATTTTAGGCTGATTCCTCTTTTAACCCCCCCCCAGGTTATGCTACTCCTTTTACATCAATTAAAATTAGGAGAATTAAATAGAAAGCTAAA